TTTTCGAGTTATTAATTCAAAGAAAGTTTACGGTAGATGACGCTGTGTTGCCATGTAGACGAGGCTAGATTTGCCATTGGTGTACATTTGTGGCTAGTCTGATTTCAACGTTTAATGTGTGTAGTAGAGAGTTGACTGTAAAGTGTTCCGTTTAACAATGGTAGGATATGCATATCCTGAGCAGGCAGTTATGATTATTACATGGTAATGGATACGAGGTGTATATTTCAAAACTGAGGGCAGCCTAATCATCCAAATTACAGTATTTTTGTACTGTATCTTGGATTGTACATTTAACAGCATCTACATGTAAACTTTAAACTTAATAACTAAAAAAGAAGGATTTTTGGATATATCTTTTTATGAACATTTGTCCTTGTTTTCGTGCGAAGAAATTCTTGTACATTATACATTTATATTATATATATATATATATATATATATATATATATATATATATATATATATATATATAAGGACATTTTTATGTTTATACATTCTTTTTAGAGATACAAATATTTAAGCAAATGTCCTGTTTAGAATAAACAGTATTAAACAACATTTACCGGCCTGAATGTCCGAGAAATTTTCACAGAATTCGAACCTGTATACTATACAGAACCGTCATTTAGCTTGACGTGCCTTTACCGATTTGGCCACTGAGGAGCGTTCGGTTAGCAAGGTTGAATTTACTGTATTTAAACTTCAATCTACAATGAATCTCTCACGTACATTCATATCTGCTCATGGCGTATCAAATGTAAACAAATGACGTCATACATTATGAAATGGACAAAGTCCGCCAATTATTTTAAGACATTTTTATGTTTATACATTCTTTTTATAGATACAAATATTTAAGTAAATGCTCTGTTTATAATAAACAGTATTAAACAACATTTACCGGCTTGAAAACTTATCGGTCATTCGGGCCGGTAAATAAACAGACATTAAAGAAAAAAGAATGTATAAATATAAAAAATGTCTTATAATAATTGTTTGACTTTATCATTTCATATATATATATATATATATATATATATATATATATATATATATTGATATATATATATAATAGATTTTCAGATATCTATTAAATAAGTGCCGGGTGATGTACGCGCAAATATTCTTGGAAAATGTATGAATCCAACACTTATCCAGCTATGCATTAATTAGTAAAACTAGTGTCATCATTCTATTATTATCTTACAGTTTAAATATATTTTCTGGCTTTAAATAACATGGAATGGGTTGATAAAATGTATTTGAATAGAATTTTTATTTTAATAGTATGTATTTCGTTTACCGGCTTGAACACTAGAGAAAATATTTTTAACAAAATGTACCCTTCGGCAGAATTAGAACCTGCGTTCTTTTTTGCAGAAGATATCTTGGTGAGAGAGTGAGAGAGAGAGAGAGAGAGAAGGAGAGCTGTATGTATGTATGTGTATGTGTGTGTGTGTGTGTGTGTGTGTGTGTGTATAATTTTCTGGGTTTGTGGCTTAATTAACTAACCACCAATCTTATCAGTTCGGGTCGATAGCTGAAGGGCGACCTCCAATCATTTTTATTCATTAATCCAAGTCAATTAAATATTGTGAATAGTTCGTTAATTAGTAGAATAAGTAAGAAAATTGAATTATCACGAACAAAAATAATTCCTAATTATTATGGAGAATTTTCGCTCGAGAGATTCCAACGTAGAAAGATTTCGATATTAACACTTCCTTTTGCGCATGTAAATTGGTTCGTTGTGGAAACGACGTAACATTGGCCAGGAAATATTCCAGTCGTTTTTCTGTGTGACTCCAATTTATTATAATCATCATAATACATTTAGAACACGCTTTCATGAATAAGCTAGATCTCTAATGAGATGTTCCCTATTTTCTCACACACACTCTGTCTATCTCTATGTATATATTTCTCCACAAAAAATGCTTTCCTCAAATCGTCTACAACCACAACGTATCTAAAACTATGTACTGGATCTCATCAGTAATAAGGGTTGTTCCAATAACTTGGACCGATTTTAAATGTGTATTAATTTTAAGCGTCTAATGATTTTTTTTCTTTTTCTTTCAGATTTAAATACTTAAGTCTTTGGCAATTTAAACCATGGAAAGTTTACAAATCATTCAACGTGTTATCGAAGCCTATTACGAAGATGGACGTTGAAACAGAAATGCAATAAGTTCCCAGGTCGCATCATCTTTCGAAACAGTGAAGTCAATTGGCCACCATGATCGTGCGATTTGACACCTTTAGATTTCTTCCTTTGGGGTCATCTCAAAAGTAAGGCCTATGCCTACAAGCCAACAACAATTCAACAGCTGAAGGATGAGATAATAAGGTGTATTGGTGAGATCGAAGATCAACTATGCAGAGACGTCATCAAAAATTTTGACCATCGAGTGGAGGTGTGCCGCCGAAGCCTTGGCGGACATTTGGGCGATATTATTTTTCACACATAATTACCATGAATTAAAGAACATGATTC